GATAAGCTTTTTTTCTATATCGCCCAGCCCTACCACTAACTGCTCCCCAAATAGTTTAATATCTACCTGACATTGCTTAATCTTTTTAGTGAATAATATTACTCTTCCTTTTGCAACTGAAAATCTAAAACCCCATTCCACGGCCCATCCTCAGTTACACCTACTGCCTGTTGTATCTCCTTTACCTAGAAAGGTACATAAGAACCCCATCATTAGCATTCTACACGCTATTTGTCTACCTTCTAAAAACTGTAAGAAACATAATATCTAGTATTTTACAGAACTTTCTGAAAGTGTTTTAGAGAAATCTTATAACTCCTGTTCCACTGTTCTCTATTCCTTAAGGTCGCCCTCCGGCTGGTTGAGTTCTGGTCACTGAACAAAGGACCTCCAGGCTTCATCTCAAGATGGAAAATACTGTGGAACTAAACCAGGAGACACCAGAACAACAGCAGACGACTCGGACAAAAGAGGAAGCAATACCTCAACCAATTAAACGGGAAAAGGTTGATGTGAGCATCTGTCAGGAGGGGAGGCGGGTTCTAGTGAAGGAGGAGGAGAATCCTTTGATGGTGACTCCTGATTATGCAGAAATGCTTTACAATGTAAAGGACCTGCAACAGACAGGAGAGACCAAGGAGGAACCAGAACTCATACCGGTTAAAGGGGAACAGGAGGAACCAGAACCTGTACAGGTTAAAGGGGAACAGGAGGAACCAGAACCTTTACCGGTTAAAGGGGAACAGGAGGAACCAGAACCTGTACAGGTTAAAGGGGAAACAGAAGATGAAGAGCAGCTTGCTGTGAAGCAGGAGGAGGAAACCTTCATGGTTCATCCTAACTGTGAACAAACAGAAAACAAAGAACTAGGAACATTTAAGAACCAACCACCCTGTCCAAACTGGCCTGAAGCTGAGAACCGACATCAGCAGAAAAGCAGCCATGACGATTTGACGTCAGGTACAGATGAAGAGCTTCAGCCAGAGATGAGACATCAGAACAGCGGGACCAATCCACAGACATCCATGTATGAAGTGGATCTGTTTTCCTGTGAAGTTTGTGGTAAATCTTTCAACAAGCAAAAGTGCTTGACTGTCCACATGAGAACTCACACAGGGGAGAAACCTTATCCTTGTAAATTGTGTGGTAAATCTTTTGCCATCTATGGTACCAGAACTAGACACATGAGAATTCACACAGGAGAGAAACCATTCACTTGTGAAGTATGCGGTAAATCTTTCAGACACTCCTACCAGCTACGTCATCATCTAAGAACTCACACAGGGGAGAAGCCTTTCTCATGTTTGATGTGTGGAAAAGATTTCAGCCAGCAATCTAACCTAACTGTGCACATGAGAACTCATACAGGTGAGAAGCCTTTCACATGTTTGAGATGTAGAAAATGTTTCACTAGGCAAAGTACTTTGATTGAGCACATGAGAACTCACACAGGTGAGAAGCCGTATTCTTGTCAATTATGTGGTAATACATTTAGATACAGTCGCCATTTGACTCTTCATGCAAGGACTCACACAGGCGAGAAGCCTTTTTCATGTTGGACCTGTGGAAAAAAATTCTCAAGGCAGTCCAACTTGAATGTTCACATGAAAATTCACACAGGTAAGAAGCAACATCCTTGAGATTTGGGCTACAAGTCTTTAATGACAGGTAGTCAATCTGCCAAGACGAGGTCTTGAAACTGACATCTGACATTCTCTGTCATGGTGGCTGATAAACTGTCAAAATGGACAGCATTTAACAGGAAGTAAGTTAAAATCTCCTGAAATTCCTCCAAATACCTTAGGTTGAAGTACCTACAGTAAGAAAAACAGCTGATGACATCACAGGCATTGTCAGCCACGAATGATTGCGCAAACACTACTTTTGTCAAAATAATCCTGAATCAACTCGCATAAATAATTTGATATAAATGGACCGCTGAAACCCTGGATCAGAGACGATGTCTCCCTTTAGTTTGTCCTGGATTATTCAGCACTGCTAATCCACCTCCTGTGATTTTATCCTACTCAGGCAGAGAGTAAATATCCTTATAGCACCTGTTCAAGTTAGTGGACTTCACAGCACTTTACACTATTTCCCCTCAGTCATTCAGACACGGATGGTGGTGAGGCTGCTGTGCCACCACCCCCCCGATCGCCATCACTAGGTCATGTGAAGTGTCCTATCCAAGAGGACCATGAATGAGACGGACTTCTGCATAATCCTGCAGGCCCATCACAGTGAGAAACCAACTACATGTTCTATATCCTGGGGGGGTCCTTGTTGGTGATTGTAGTTCATTTCTTTAATTCAGATTTTCTAAAACTGGTTACAGTCATTTTTTTTCTCATTCTCTCATTTTGCTTTGCTCCATCTCTGAATCTATGATGCTTCTGGTTTATCAAATCTAGGATTTTGATGAAAGTTTCAGTTGAAAACGTGCCCAGACAGCTGGACATTACCGCCTTAAATTGCATTTTATTATATACATACAAACAGACAGAGAGACAATCCTGTTTTAACTCATTAAATGTAGGGCTGAAACAATTAGATTAATCATGATTAATCGATTATTGAAATATTTGTCAACTAATCGATTAATCATTAACTGGAATATAGAAACCCGCCTTTAGCTGACAGACGGACCCACTTAGAGCAGGAATTATATCAAGGCTGTAAAAAAATATTTAACCATTTTGTATTTAAGATAAAAATGTTTTGGTCTGTCAATATGCTCCATAGAGAACCTCTGAAGTAGCAAAGTTTTCATTTCACTTGGCTATCAGATTATTAATCGATTAAACAATTTATCTTCTGGTTTTATTAAACTTAACAGCAGCCTAGATGAGCCTATGAGGCAAGAAGTGCGGCAGAACCGTCAGCATCAAAAGCCGAGCAGTGAGGTGATAAACAGGAGGAGAAGGAAAACAGACTGGAAAGAAACACAGATGTTAGAGTTAATTAAGAAATACATTTTTTCTTTGTCTGCAGGGAATATTTTCACCTAACCCTAACAGTAGAGATAGATTCATTTCTGGCATCAGAGAAGATCAGATGAACAGAAGTACAGTCGCCAACATTTATGAAGAGCAGCTCAACGCCCCCCCCATCCCCATTGGATAAGAGGCTGTTAGTAAAGAGGAAGGAGCCTCTTAGATGTTTTTACAACTTTGGATGATGACATCACTATGCTAGGGGGCGTGGCCATTTCTAATGTTGGAGCTCGTTAATGATGTTAACAACATGTCAGGGTTCGACAGCACTGGGTTAGGATCACTGCTGCTCTGTCATAAATGCATTTTTATGTTAAATATTGTTTTTAATGAATGATGAATTCCAATCATCATATGATATCTGCATATAAATCTAATGAGTTACGTTAAAAAAGTCTTTATTTCAATTCATCAACTTTTCAGTTTATCTGATTGGTTTTGATGCGTTTGATTTTTATTTTTAAATTTAAGCTGAAATATGAACAAGGATGTTAAAATCACATGTAAAATGTTTTATTGAAATAAATGTTTAATAAACACCAGTAACCCCAGTAATGTTAGCCTGATGTGTATTTTCTATCCATGCCTGTGTTTCCAGTAAAACCATCAAACTGCTCCGGATTCATTTCATTTTAATGGCGGTCGCACCAACTGCTGCCAATCAGCTGTTCAGAGAGACGGTTTATTGAAGGAACTAGTGATTCGGTGAGCGAATAGGTGTCATCCACGTGAACCAGGAATAGTTCACTCAGCATCCATCGTTATCTCTCACTAGTCTGGGCAGCGATTTGCTCTTTTTATTTTTCTGACTTTAACTAGTCCCACAGTTTTCAACTGATTTTATCAGTTTCAGTATCAAAATGTTCAGCTTGTTCAGGAGAATTCTATGTCTTTTGGTAAAGATATTTTGTGGTAGTTTTTGTAATATTCAGTTTTTTCTGCCTTTTTTTTTTTGTCCCATTGAAATGCATGTAAAATTCTCAGATTTCAGCTAAAACTTCACCATCTTTGACCTTTAACTACTTCCGCATACTTTCAGCTAGAAACACCGTTCAACTTCTAAAATGTTCATCAATGATTCAGCTATTCCAATTTAACTCAGCTTTTTAATATCTTTTGCGGTTTTTATAAAATTGGGATTCAAACTTGACACAAATTTTTTCAGGTTTTCAATTTTCTAATGCAAGTCTATTGGTGGAAATCTTCAAATGTCAGAGTGCGTGCTCTAGCTTTTGAGCCGTTCTAATAAATCTTCTCACTCGCTAATTTTTCACTCAATTTAAATAAAGTATACATCAAAATGTAGGAATTTTTGTCAGAATTCAGGAAATGTAACCCTCATTGGTGTGGGGTTTACAGTTTTCCTACAGTTTGGCCCAGACCGCAAAGAAGTCCACACCCCCCCAATAGAAATCCAATGACTTTCCAAAAATCAGATGAAAATCCCATTTTGCCAATTTCCCTATTTTCTCTGTCTTTTCAAACACCTCATTGCGTCACGCAAACTGTTTGATGTACAAACATGAAACATGTCATCATCAGACCCTTCTAGCGTTCACGTTGAAGGAATTCTTTTGATATCATGTATGGTTTGGCCGTGCAGCTGGTTTGTTCGGGGGCATCAAGTAGGTCAAATTTCCAGCTCAAATCTTTCAAAATGACACCCTTTTTTACATTGTTACCATGGCAACATTTTGGTAGAAACATAAAAGTTGGTAAATTTGATAATCAATGCCTGCTGATTCATACACTGAAAAAAAAAGAAATTTTGCCAATTTCCCTCTCTAACCGTAACCCTTTTCACAGAGAGCTTATCTTTACAAAAACAGCCCTGAAGCTTTGTTCCCAAATATTCATGAATTAAACGGTGCAAGAATGACATCATATGGCTTATTGTGTCAGAGTTACAGGCATTTGTTTGGCAGGACGTCATACAGGCAATTACCGTAAGCCAGGATAGTAATTGGAGATGGTGGCTGAACAACACATCACTGCCTCTTCTAGACTGTTTCATTTACAAACATGAAACTTGGCATCATCAGACCTGACTAGCGCTCACATTAAAAGAATGTTTTTGATATTATGTGAGGTTCGGCTGTGCAGCTACTTTGCTCAGGAGCATCAATTCGGTCAAATTTTCAATTGAAATCTTTCAAAATGAGCCCCTTTTTTACATTGTTACCATGGCAACATCCTTTTGTGAAAGTTGGTATAATCATTCCTCGAAGCCGGCTAATTTTCACGGTTATACTTTAGATATAATTTATGGTTTGACGGTGACGCTTTGTCATTCGGGATTCTAAAAACAGTAAATTTTCTAACCAAAATTATCCTTTTTTTCATCATCACCATGGCAACGGCCTCTTTTCAGGAAACAAGATATTTGGCACTGTTGTTCATCAACAACTGCTGATTCTTGTGATCAAGAAATGTTTTTGTATCCTTTACAGTTTTTGAAATATTAATCATAGTTCAACACAGCATTTTTAACATCCTTTGAATTTAAAAAATTTTGCTCTTTTCTTTTACCAAGGACTTTGTCTTTTAAAGAATATTTTCAGTTGAACTTCTGTCAACTCCCAGGTAAACAGATGCTTTTTGGTTAAACAAATTTCACGAAATGTTCTGCTTTTAAGATGAGTCTGTTTCTGCCATTGTTTTGCCAAATGATTCTACCTTACAAATCTTCTGATGATTCAATTGTTTTCTGCAGTTTGAAGTTTCTGATTACTTCCTATCACATTTTCATATGTTCTTCAGCTAATTTCTGTTTTTTTCCCTTTTTCAGTTTCTTTAGCTAATTTTTCTTTTTTCATTTAGCAAAAAAAGGCATTCACATTTAGCTGTTTCTCTGAAACGGCTTTTTCTATTTATTTATTAATCCTTCCTCCCTGAGATCAAACAGCAGAAAGTAGATGACATTAAGGAAATAAAGGAATTATTGGGTAAACAACACAGAGCGGTCTGACATGTCATTGTTTTTGGGCTGCTTCTCCAGGGACAGCACTGCACTACTGTATCTTAGTGCTATAAAGGGGCCTTAAACCGTTAGAGGGAGCTAGTGAGTCAGACCCAGCGAATAGAGGATAGATCTAGTTTAGCTCCGTTTCACAAAGCAGGTTTACCGAAAACGCTAAGTTCTCTAACCCTGAAAACAGGGAAACTCTGACTTTTCCGTTTGTTAAAGAGAGTTTTCCTCATCCTCTGTTTCTGTTGCCATAGTAACATCCTCCCAGAGCTAACCTGGTCAGCAGCAGGTTTTCTCCAGTAAACTCAGAGTGTCCTCTGTCTCCGCTGTCCTTAGGGAGAAGATTCTACAACTCAGTTGACAGGATATGAGATGAGACTTGTTTTTGGTTTGTTTAATATCTGGTTCATTTTATTTAGTTATATTTACAGTACATGAAGAACTACTGAAATTATTTTCAGATTACCCAATAAATATATTCATTAATTCAGCAGGAGGGGAGCAGGTGGGACGGTTCAACAGAGCTATGGCTCTGGGTGAGTTTGGCAACTGTATTAAAAAGAAATCTAGGATTATTCTTATTCTCCTCTATTAATGAGGAGAAATATGCTGCTCTTGCTTTACAAAGGGTCCTCTTATACAGCAGTAAACTATTTTTCCAGACTAGGAAGGATTCCTGTAGGCCTGTGGAGCGCCATATTCTCACCAGTTTCCTAGCATTTTGCTTCAGAGTTCGCAGCTCTGCATTAAACCAAGGAGCCAGCTTTCTATTTTTAAAGTTTGAAAAACCTTCAACCTTTGAAAGGAAATAAATTCAACTTTTGCACTCTGCAGCACTGCTCAGCAACACAGAGGAGAGAGAAAGTGAAACAGATTCTTTAATATTCTTTAATAGGTAAAATCCTTTTGGGGGAGGAAAACTCTGTTAAAGTAATCCTGAAGGATATTAAAAATTGGTCATACAGGAGAGGGTTGTGAGGAAATCCTATTATTTCTTTACATTGTTGGTGAAGATTATCAGTCATCCAGGTTGTAGTCAATTCCAAAAAAGGGGTTAAAATCAATCCACTGGACTTAGTGTCCAAGTTTGAAGACGTTTCTCTTCCCATCCAGGAAGCTTTTTCAATTAAAAATGTCAGAATTAGCATTGAGTTCCAGGTTTTATAGAGTGGACCAAACAAGGCCTTGTTAATTGCTATTTTATTGGGTATTGCAGGCTAACAAGATCTTAACGACTCCCCACTCCTAAAGGGTGGACCCATTCTTCTGGTTTCATTTTTAATGTTTTCTACGCCATAACAAGGCTTTTGTTTGTGCCACTCTATAAGCCTGGAACTCAAACCATACTCCAGACATTTTGAATTGAGACAGCTTCCTGGATGGGAAGCAAAACATCTTCAAACTTGGAAAACCAAGTACAGTGTTTTTTCTTGTTTTTTTACTTTTTTTACTTTGATAGGAGTTGCCTCGTTTCTGCTCACATTATCCTCTTGCTGCAGCCAGGTTTCTGTAAGGCAAAACAAGTCAATGTGATTATCACCAATCAAGTCATTAACTAGCAGACTTTTAGAGGAAAGAGATCTTATGTTAAATAGACCACATTTAATCATTTTAACTTTTTCCCCAATTGGAGTTATTTTAATTTTAATTATCATGATTTACACTTTTGGGAATAGTTGCTAATTTATTAGATTTTGGTCGTGGG